CCCAAGTCTCAACATCTTTTTTACATTGTAGAGACCAAATACTGGAAACAGTATTTCAAAGCCTTACCGAGGCCTTATAAAGTGGTATTAACACTTCATATGATCTTGATTCTATCCCTCTGTTAATGTTGCCTAGGATTGTGTTGGCTTTTTTGGCTGCTGCAGCACATGGCTGGCTCATATTCAAGTGATTGTCTGCTAGGACTCCGAGATCCCTCTCATAGTTACTACTATTGAGTGAAGTACCACCCATACTGTACTTGTTTGTTTGTTTTTTCTTGCTTAAATGTAGAACTTCCCTTTTTTTCACCCATGAATTTCATTTTAGATAGCTCCCAATGTTCAAGTCTGTCAAGATCCTTCTATATCTTAATCCTATCTTCTGGAATTTTGGCTATTCTTGACAGCTGGGTGTCGTCTGCAAATTTGATGAATTCCCCATCTATCCCCTCGTCCAAATGATTGGATGACATTGAAGAGTCTTCTCCTTGGGCCATATCCGTCATCGGATGTTGGCGATCCTATTTCTATCAACAACCAGACACAAAAAAATATGCTGTTGGGTTTTGTCCAACACCAGTCCCTTAGATTTTGAAGCCATTTTGAAGAGCACTGGGCCTAAAACAGAGCCTTGGGGCACCCCACTGCATACTTCCCTCCATGTAGATGTAGTTCCGTTGAGGACTACTCATTATGATGCGGAGCTACTTAATGGACGTCATGCACAGTTCCCAACTCTCCCTGTTCCCGTTGATATTTACCACGTCTTGGCCAATGTAATTTTTGACATGAAGATGAGGGTGTAAATATGGACACAAAATGACATTGAAACATATATTCCAGGACCTACATGGCTGTTCTCCCAAGTGCTAGTTTTCAGTGTATTTCTTAACTACTTGTTTCTGTATGAGGATGACATATAAAAGAAGGGGTATAAGATATAAAAGAAGGGATAAAATCTGAAACAAAATGGCGGTACAAGTACTCCTCGACTTGTGATCACAATCGAGCCCCATCAGTTTTTGTTTTCTTAGGGAGACGTTCCTCAAGTGAGTTTGGCTCCATTTTACGACCATTCTTGACACCATTGTTAAGCAAATCACCGCCGTTAAGTCAGCAGCATGGTGGCCTAAGCAAATCTGGCTTTCCCATTGACGTGGCTTGTCAGAAAGCTGCGAAAGGGGATGTATGACGGTTATAAGTGTGAGTCAGTCGTGAAGCATCTGAATTTTGATCACGTGATTGTTGGGATAAGAGTGTTGAAGGGTGAGAAAACGGTCATAAGTCTCTTTTTTCAGCGCCATTGTTACTTCGAATGAACTGTTGTTAAGTTGAGGACTCCCTGTGTCCGTTTCACTCCTTAAGAAACTCCTTCCAAGGATGGAAAAAAAATTGATGGTAGATATAGTTTTATCGAGATTTTTGTCTTGAGCCAGAGTTATGCATAGAACCTCCTGGATGTTCACTGTGATTTATGATAATGTCTTATCAGTGCTTATCTGCAGATTATTTCTGGAGGGGAAGTAAAGAAAAATATGGAAACTGTAGGTCCTGAAAACTAATAATTTCATTTCTCCATCTCTCTTTTTTTTTAAAAAAAAAAAACAAGCTCATTTTTCTCTACCATGTGCAGTTTTGAATACAATTTTTCCACAGCCTAAAATGGCTTCAGTAAACTCAAGAGATGATTGTCCTCCAAGGAAAACTATATTTTAACTAGCTCGATACCTGTGCTTCGCTACGAAACGATGTGGTCGGGCTTAGCTTTTAGGGAGGAAAAAAAGGGGGAAAAAAATTCTGCCTCTGCTTACCAGCATCCATCGGTATTCATCTGGCTAGTGTCCTGTCAATGTGTGATGGAGTTGAGGGCTGTTTGGAAACTGAAACAGTATTTGCTGTGTGAGCAAGGAGGAGACAGCAAGGAGCCTGGGCGTGGCTTAGCTCAACTGTTCTGTACTAAAGCTGCTTGGTGCTGTGAAACTAAAACTGAAACTGAAACTCCTCTCCTCTGCTTGTGTTTTGCATTTGGAACGGATTTCGCAAAAGGGAGGGGGAGCAGAACTCCTTAGCATCAGAGCGTGTTAATAATAATAATATAGGAAATACTCTAGATGCTCTGATGGTCATTTCAAAAAATCCTTTCTTAGTGAGCAGCTAGAAGCCAAGAGGAACATATGTGTCAAATTTCAAGTTTGTAGGCTTTACGGTTCTGGAGATTTTGTGATGATGCGTGAGGGCATTTCGCTTTTATATATAGATAGATAGATAGATAGATATGCTTATTAGTCTGGGAAATTAAAATTAGAGAAGGAAGCTGAAAATTGCAAGGTGAACAAAAATTCCCCAATATGCCCGAGAGCCGAATGGAACTGCTTTAAGACCCACGTACGACTTAGCACGTCCATGTTTTATTTTTTTCTTTGTTAAAGGTAAAACAGCAATGAGATTTTGATAATGGGGCTTGTTCCTAATCAGTCATATTTGGGAATAATCAGCAGTTTAGAAGGTTAATTTATGGAGAAGAAGGTTATTTTTAGTAAAAAGAAAAATTACAGGAAGTCCTCGACATACGACAATTGGGGCCAGATTTCCATAGCTAAGCAAGGCGGTTGGACAGTGGGTGGCGTCTGATTTTTACATCCTGTTTTGCCATGGTTTTTAAGCGAATCACGGCAGCTGTTAAGTGAGCTGTGCAATTGCAAAAAGCGGATACAGCTACTTCCATGGATTTGTCGGAAGCCACCTGGGAATATCAGAAATAGCAATAGCCCTTAGACTTATATACCGCTTCACAGTGCTTTCCAGCCATCTCTAAGCGGTTTACAGAGTCAGCCTGTTGTTCCCCAACAATCTCAGTCCTCATTTTACTGACCCCTGGAAGCATGGAAGGCTGAGTCGACCTTGAGCCGGTCAGGATCGAACTGCTGAACTGCAGCCAGCAAAAGTAGCCTGCAGTGCCTCATTCTAACCACTGCGCCATCACTGCTCAAATGGGGATCATGTGAGTCTGGGCACGGCACACTGCGCCATGGTTGTGCGGTGGTTAGAATGTGGTACTGCAGGCTATTTCTGCTGAATGCTGGCTGCCAACAGTTTGGCAGTTTGATCCTGAACGGCTCAAGGTTGACTCGGCCTTCGGTCCTTCCGAGGCGGGTAAAATGAGGGCCCAGATTGTTGGGGGCGATATGCTGATCACTTGGAGAGGGGGCTGTAAAGCACTGTGAAGCTATAAATCTAAATGCTATTGCTAAGTGCTAACTCGTAAATACATGCTGGTTGCTAAGTGCCTGAATCACAGTCACTCTGTTTATTTAACTTGGGGTTTTTTGAGCACATCCAGTTCCTAATAATGTGGGTTATTATGCTGTAATATAGCAATACCTTGTCTTCACAATAATAAAGTGGAGGAGGAGGATGACGATGGCTGCAGGGCCCGTGGTGCTCTCTGAGCTTAGTGGCTTTCTTGCAGACGTTTCATAAGCCAACTAGGTAACATCATCAGTGCTAGAAGGAAGAGGAGTTTGTGGAGAGGAGGAGGAGGAGCACTACGACGACAACAACTGTGGGGTCGTTGGTGATTTCTGAGTTTGGTGGTTTCTTGTGGACATTTCATTAGCCAACTAGGTAACACCATCAGTGCTAGAAGGGAGTGGGGTTTGCAAGGAGGAAGAGGAGGATGATGACAATGAATGTGAGGTCCCTGGTGCCCTCTGAGTTTGGTTGTTTTCTTGTAGACATTTCATTACCTAGCTGGATAACATCATCAATGTTAGAAGGGAAAGGGGTTTGAGGAGGAGAAGGACGTGGTGGTGGTGG